GAAATGGCGTGCTATTAAATGAAACTCAACTCAAGTCCTTTAAGGAGACAACTTCTTAGGAGATCTTGAACTAAGAAAAACCAAGAAGAGATGACGGTAAATATGCTTTTTCTTGAGCTTCATAATTCATTCAGTACTTTCTAGGACAATTTTCTGTGATTTTCAACGCTACTCGCTTAGTGGATGAAGTTTTTTGAAAATTTTCGAAATGAATTTTTAGGTTTTCGATACGGCAAAATCACCAAATTTATTTTGATTTAATAGATAGTGGATGTCAATATCAATTTGGTTAGATATGTATAAATCAAGTAAATGAACATCATTTGATGATTACGTTGCATAGAAATTCTCGTGTTTTCAGCGAAAAAAATATCAAACTATTGGAGATTTTAGTAGATTATAATCGGATTTTTCTGCACCAAAATCCGATTTATAATTGATTGAAATCTTCGAAATCAACGATAATTTGCTTTTAATCGAACAACAATCTTGAAAATCCGACAAAAATTTTGATTAAAATCATATCAAATCCAGATTATATATGAGTTTAATCAAGCATAGATGATTTTAATATAAGTTTTACCGGATTTTTAAGATTATTGTTCGATTAAAAATCAAATTATCTTTGATTTCGAAGATTTCAATCAATTATAAATCGGATTTTGGTGCAGAAAAATCCGATTATAATCTACTAATATCTCCAGTAATTTGATATTTTTTTCACTGAAAACACGAGGATTCCGATGCAACGCCATCATCAAATGATGTTCATTTACTTGATTTATAATTGCATATCTAACCAAATTGATATTGACATCCACTATCTATTAAATCAAAATAAATTTGGTGATCAATTGTCTCTTGTTTAAAGTACATTTTCAGTCAAAAAAATTAAATTAATTAAAAATTTGACTTTGCTTTTCGGATAATTTAAAATCCAAAACAAATAAATTGTAAATGGACACTTCTATTTTTTTCTTGAAAAATAAATGTATTGTTAAGAGAGTGTCGTATTATTGTAAGAGAATACATTTATTAAGGTGATGAATTAGTAGCATATAGAACTTTATCTGCGACAAGCAGTGTTCCTAATGAAAGAGTGTACCCAGCAAAACAAAGTGTATCGAACCCTAACGAAACAGAATTTACACAGTAACTGTTACGAAAATTTGCATGCCTTTATGATTAAATGAAATATATTTATTGGATGTGATCAAAACTTTGTGTTTCATCCAATCGAACAAAAAAAGGTAGAGGCATCATAACATTGTCTATGCTAGAGATAAGAAAAAGTACACTGTAAAAAATGCCATGTGTCTAACGAGACATGTGATCCGTCTTAAGTCTTATTGAGACGCGAAATACGTCTTGCTTTTAGACATGTAGTGAATACAGACAGGACGGCGTCTTACGTTCCTCTTTCTCGTAAAACATTGTTATAGCTATTGGCCTATAGGTCAATCTTTTTGCTTTCTTTCGTAGCTATGAGAATGAGGGACGGCGCGAACGGGGGAGGGGGGGATTCCCTCAACTTTGGAAATTTTTGTTTCAATTTTACTCCGATTTTTGAAAAAACGCCTCCCGTTTTCAAGTAACCCCCCCTATAGTTTTATTACTTCGCGCCGTCCCTGATGAGAATTTACTTTCGGATGTGAAACAAAGAGTCTTATTCGATTTCTTGAAAATATTTAGGATTTCACTCTTTTTCAGAACTAGTTTTCCCGGTGACTTTTCTACCGTGAACTACTCCAGATTTTAACTCGAGTTGAGGATATTTGTGGTTTTGAAGAGATCCGTATCGCTTGATTCGATATCGGAAGCGAAGGGGCTTTAAAAATATGCAAACCATTTTACCGAAATTTCTTTTTTATTTATTTTCTAGATGATAGAAAAATTATCAAAAATAACTGATAACAGTTATATTTTAATATTGTATATTTAAAAGAATACTTAAGACTTTTATTTTCTTCGTTTTAGACTTGTGTTGCATGAGCTTTCCCAAACGCTTCCGTCAATATATGGTTTACTAATTCAAGAATTCATGTTTTTATATGAACATTAGATATTAGAATAAATATTCTCAATGAAATAATGTTTTTACACTTTACTTGAGTTAAAATTATATTTAAAAACTACAGAAATTATTCTAAAATTTTTTTATATATATTTTTTGATGTTTAATGAAATTCCTCAAAAATCAGATTTACTTAAATAAAATATTTTCGAAGATAATTTTTTATTCCACAAGAATATTACCTTCGAGGAATTTCATTAAACATCAAAAAATATATATAAAACAAATTTAAAATAATTTCTATAGTTGAGACGTGGCCAAGTTTCCATTAGTCGGAACCTTTTCGGGTATTGGGAACTCAAAAATAAATAAGCGACAACGAGCGATGTGAAACCACAACACGTGAAGCATCTCAGGGAAGCCAGGGAACTCTGGGAAAGCAATGGTTTCCTGACCGGTCGACAGGATCAATTTTGAGCTGAAAGCATGTGAAATGAAAACATTTCGCTGTAAAGAAAAGACTCACGTGCGAAAATGCATTGTGTTCTTTCACTGACGTTATCAATGAAATTCTGATTCCATGAAGCACGCTTTATCAGGTAAGCTATTGTACAAGAATTTCGTATGCTTTGCACAAGTTAAGAGATGTGATGTGGTCTAGAAGATTAAAATTTTCGCTACGGGGTGTTTGTTCGTATCATTACCGCTTTCGCTACTTTGAAGGTTAAAATTAATGCTTTTATGGTAGTCGCTACAGCGAGAGCAATATTGAGCGTCCATCTCTTTTTCTTGAGGCTATGGATGTGGGTGTTGCTATTCTAACTGATTCACCCACACCCACGCTTGGTATGTTATAGAACAACCATATCTTTGACACAGTAATAATAGTATCATTTCCCACATACTTGACAAATTTCGACTACAAGAGATTACTCGCGCCTTTTCTCTGATTATCACCAACCGATTCAATAGATTTCACAAGTTTCCACCAAATTCATTTTGCCTCAAGCACATGGGTACTAGACTTGAATACGGCAAATTGAACGTCACTGTCAATTTGTTCTATCATGAATCTCGCTGAGGCTGTCAATCCTGTCGCGACATCCTCACTTATGATGTTGTACTGTGAGTCCCGCTGAGGCTGTCAGTCCTTTCGTGACACCGACTGTCATAACTAGATTTGTGTGTTCCTCTGTAAATGTGAATATTATCAGCAGTTGCAACACCATTAGAGGAATAGCTAAACAAACAGATATATATTTAGATATTGCCCGCTATTAATTGCTATCTGGATAGATAGATAACCTGATTTACCTATTTATCTACCCATATAAGCACCCAGAAACGTTTCATAGATAGAATATTTTCGTCACTTGAAAACTGAATGATATCATCAATCATGATTCTCCTATATCCCACCATCGCCGAAGCCGAACGATCCGAAGCTCCCAAATTCCACTTTTATTCAACGTATAAATTTATCAAAGCATAATAAACAATCACTCTAAAATACCGGAACTCATTCTTAAGCGAACAGAAAATTTGCTCATTTCGCCACCGTGACCTCATATATCTATTATGTCAATGGATATGCCTTCACTCAATTATGCCCATTATCGCCATTAGTTATCATGCCAATTAAGTATAGTACTCGATATACTGATGGTCCAACCGGAATGAATTGAGTTCAGGCTCTTATTTCCCTCATATTTGTGACCTCCCTGACTTCCTTGGTTTCCCTGACTTCCCATAGTTCCTTGAGTTCCTTGGAATCCCTCATAACGTTGCTATGCTTTGGTTTATCATCACTTATTCCTGTTCATTCATTTTTGAGTTCCCAATTCCCAACGAATTCCCGACTTCTGGGAACTTGGGCACTGCTGTAGAAGTTTCCTTGTATGGCTAGCAATCCACTTTCTAGCGTCTTATATACTTTTTACACTTTGATCCTTAAAACAAAGGGTACGAAACCATGATGCTCAAAACTAGCGTAGTGTATTTTTACATTCTATTTCAGATTCCTATTAGGAACACTGACCTACAGAAAAGCGAAAAAAATAGTTAGAAGATTGAAAGAGAAAAAACTACACAGTGACGAGCGCATATATGAAAAAACACTATTTTCTTACTGAAAATGACATGGCTCGTTGATTCAAGTAAAGAAAAGTAAGTGGTAAAAAACCAAGCAATATTGCTAACAATAAATACAATTTACAAGTCATTGTAAACATATCAGAAAAAAACCTCACACTCCAACACAATTTACTATGTAAGTATATTTTAGCTCCAACATTATTAGGCTAATTAAGTTGAAGATAGCGGGATTCGAGAAATATTCAATGTAGAAATGCTAAATACCCTGTTATTTAACTTAAATTGCTCATAATTAGATTATATAGAAAAATAGTAGGGAATGATTTTTCACCTGAAGATATTAATTTTTAATAAAATATTAAGCTTTCTACGTATATTTAACTGTTGAATTTTCTTCCAAACATCCATTTGATTTAAGACACAGATAAAATAAAATGCTGAATCTATTAAAAAGAAACTTCACTTCGAAAGCATGAAAACTACAAATCTGCGAATTAATTGTCAAAGCATGTGAAAACTATTTAGTCTTTAACTAGTATTATGACTAAGGTATTAGTGCTAGAAAAACTAGTTCTAAGTATAGGTAGTAGAGAATTTTATTTGGCTATCAACTAGAAAGTGAGTCTTTCTCGGAAGTCATTATCAATTGAGTGAGATTAGGACCTGCAGAATACCAAACAAGCACATTTTAGATTTTAGGAAATTCACAAGAGTTATATTGTATAAGTATTTAGTTTTTCAAAAATCACAGAATTCTGAATTCTGCTGGGTAGGCTAATCTGCAAATGCTGTATCAGTGATAGCTTAGTCGTATACAAGAACACTTCTTAGTTATTCATTGCATTAATTCATTCTTTCTTACATTAGCAAAAGGCTCTCAAATACATACAAGATGGATAAAAGCAAATCACCCACAGCTAGCAGCGCAGCTTGTGCCGAATACAGTGCAAATGCGTTTTCAGCAGTATCAAAACAAGCCATTACTAGCGCCACTGTTGAAACTTCCTCAGAAGACTTTCGAGCACGACCAAGAAGAATCGTGCAAAATTTCCTTTTAGTATGGCTCGATGCTAATATTGATGAAGGAAAGGAAGATTTTCAAAAGGCGCTGACAGCGCTTCGAAAAATTTTCGTGACGGTAGAACCTTTTACTGACGTTGACCAATGTGTTGATTACCTAACAAGTATAGATGATCAGAAAATTTATTTAATTACCTCTGCGTCACTTGGCCAAACGACAGTGCCACTTATACATGATATAGCTCAACTTGATACGATCTTTGTTTTCTGCTCAAACAAAGATGAGCACAAATTTTGGGCGAAAGAATGCGCGAAAGTGAAAGGCATTCACGACTCAATACAGCCTATATGCATGCAATTAATAAAGGCGACACAATCATGCGACCACGATGCAATACCGATGAGTTTCATACCAAAGCGACAAATATCAGAAGCAGCATCCACAAAACAAAATCTGGATCAATTACCGCCATCTTACATGTACTCGGTGATTTTCAAGGACATCATATTAGAAATCGATCATGATGACAACAAATCTATGAATACTTTAGTGAACTTTTGCCGACAACAAAATATTCCTGAAATACAGATAAACTTATTACAGAGTAATTACCACGAGAAATCACCTATTTGGTGGTATACGAAGCCAATGTTTCTCTATGGTATGCTTAATCGTGCCTTACGAATGCTCGATATGGAAGTGATGATAAAATTAGGTTTTTTTATTCAAAGTCTGCATCTGCAGCTGGAACAATTGCATCAAGCACAGTCGGCAAATTTTCAACAAGCGTTTACCGTTTATCGTGGTCAGGAACTGAGTCAAAAGGATTTTCAGAATCTACTAGATTCAAAAGGTGGCCTACTATCGTTCAACAACTTTCTATCGACTAGTAAGGAAAGAGACGTGGCTACATTATTTGTTCAAGAGTTCGTGCCAAACAATAAAGATATTGTTAGCGTTTTGTTTATAATGACAATCGATCCAACTACGATATCAACTTCAATTACACCATTTGCAATGATCCATGAACATAGTGCTATTTCATCGGAACAAGAAATTCTATTTACAATGCACACTGTTTTTCGTGTCGTTGAAATTCAACAGACGACTAAAAATAATCGTCTTTGGGAAGTACAATTGACTATTACTGACGAAAGTGATCCACAACTTGCTGGTCTTACTGATCACATCAAAGAGGAGGTCCAAGATTCAACTGGATGGCGTCGAATGGGTAAATTGATGCTCCAAGTGGGTCATTTCGATCAAGCTGAAGAACTCTACAATGAATTACTCGAGAATGCTTCCACTGATAGCGATAGAGCACATGTCTATCACCAGCTCGGATACTTGAAAAACGATCAAGGGAAATATCCAGAAGCAGCTAAATTCTACGAAAAATCCCTCGCGATCAAGCGGAAAACTCTTCCAGAAGATAGTGCTTCATTGGCTGCTATATGGAAGTCATTAATTAATGTCATTAATTAAGTTCCGTTAAAAAAAATGGTCCACCCCTAGTGAATACTCGAAAGCACTTGAGTTTTACGAAAAATCACTCAAAATAAAAGAAATATCTCTCGCTGCGAATCATTCCTCTTTGGCGACTTCCTACACCAGCATCGGTAGTGTGTATAATAACATGCGAGAATACTCGAAAGCACTGGAATATTACGAAAAATCACTCAAAATAAGAGAAATATCTCTGCCTCCGACTCATCCCGATTTGGCTACTTCCTACAACAACATCGGTCTAGTGTACAGCAGCATGGGAGAGTACTCGAAAGCACTTTCCTATCTAGAAAAAGCACTTAGTATTTATCGAAATTCACTCCCTGAAACACATCCGAATATTCAAGTTGTATTGAGCAGTATAGCAGCAGTGAAAAAGAAGTTATAAATGTTTATTTTCCCTAGTTTTCGCCTACAGAGATGTCATAATATCCTAACACTGGGTATCGTCGACATACCAGTCACGATATCCATTCAAGTGGATATCTAAAATGGATACTAAAATGAATACCCAAATTTCTCAGAGCTGAGGAATTTGAGTGCATTTGGTGTAACGAGATTGGGTATCGGAAATTTTCCTACTGTCAGGTCCTACTTCAAACAAATTAATATAAGCCACAATTCAAATAGCATACATGTGACGATCCACAACAACACCAACTACACAGCATGCTACAGTTTCAACCCGACTTCCTTGAGTGATTGTGATGAAAGTCGTAATAAATTCTTATCAGGTAAAAATGAAGTTCTTCAACGAACATTTATTTGGAATTGCACGCTATCTGCAATAGTCATTAAACAAATCTGTACATATCGATAAACATTGGCATAAAGCTGACTACATGAATACAATAAATTTTAACATAGCATTACGTTTCCTTATTTATAATTATAAAGTCACGTATTTCTACAATAGGGTATATCCATTTCCGATACCCATTCTCGTTACACCAAATGCACTCAAATTCCTCAGCTCTGAGGATACGTAGATTTCCATCCAACTGGGTATCCTATTTGGGTATTCATCTCGATACCCAAGTTGTGGATATTATGACATCCCTCTTCGCCTAATAAAATAGTTTGAATGATTCTTAATTAATATTTACTAGTCGCGCGCGCGCCCAGGAAGAACCCCCATGGTCGTGAAACGGGCACACAGAGGGAACCATGCCAGACTGGTACAGCAATGCACACAAAGTATGACGTACAAATACGACGACAGTGACCTCGTGTACATGAAAAGGCCTTCCTAGTTCTATACTATTTCGCCGTTTCTAGTAACAATGAATGGCTCTTCTTTTTTTGTTTTGTATTTTTTTGGGTTAAAAGTAAATTGTAACTTTTAATATTCCGTCCGGACTAATAATTATTTTTTCGACTCAACTCAATCGCTCATTCTCATCTCGTCTCATTTTATTTTTTGTTTAGTTTTAATTTAATTTTGACTTCGTCGAATAGTTTGTGTGAGCAATCTAAATGAAAAGAAATTATAAGTAAGTTATTTTGTTTTGAATTTATTTAAAACAGAAAAGAAAATAGGTTACCATTGCATTGTAATTTGATATCATTGTAGCACCTCTAGAGTTTTAGAAACAAAAAGAAATTAATTTGTTATGTTTTATATCTACATTTTTTTTAATTTTTGATATCAGGACTGGTTAGTTGCCATTGATAGATGAGAATACATTCTAAAAAGAGAAAAGCGAATAGGTTAGTGTCAGCTTTTCAAGAAGAGTTGTTATGAGGAAAAAAGCAATAATAATAATAATAATTCCATTGTAATTGTAATTGTAATGCATTGTTAAACCTTGTGTATTGTAATGTAACACCCCTGAAAAGTAAATACATTATTTTTAAAATAGATGCTTACTTATTATCTACTCGCCGATTGAATTGAATGACTTACGTAGAATACAACAACGTATATTTATATATATATATATATATATATTTTTTTTTTTAATTAGAGCTCTTTATTAAGGGATAATCGTTAAAAAATATCACATGGCTATGAGCGAACTNAATACAACAACGTTTATTTATATATATATATATATATATATATTTTTTTTTTAATTAGAGCTCTTTATTAAGGGATAATCGTTAAAAAATATCCCATGGCTATGAGCGAACTCGCTCCTGTAGCCTGAAAAAAAACCAAGTTGAAATAACAAAAATGGAAGGAACGAGACGAAAAATCGGCCAAAAATAAGAAAAATAAGAAATACAAATGTGAAGATCAAAAGACAATAATAAGAGCAAGAGAGTAGATGACGTAAATAGGCGATTTTGTTTTGAACCATACTAAATTTAGTGGATAAGGATTACTGGTTGAGGATGAGATTGAAAGCCTAGGAAGACAACATCGAGAAACAGCAGTAATACAACAACGTATATTTATATGTTATTCTATGCAAGTAAAATTAAAATAACAATAATAATTTATTTTTCATAATTGATTATGTGATTAATTTGACGATTGATAGTATAATCAGTTTATTGGTGACCGTCTCTTCATTAGATGACTAATTGATAGTCAATTGTTTTATCTTAACAGGCTTTTTCTTTAAAAGAAGAAAGACCAAAAAGGGTGTGAATATAGTTTGGTTTCTTTTTAACTACGTACTCAACAACGATAAATACATCGAAAACAAAAACATCATGATGAAGAAATTTCACACATATACAAGATACAATAACATATAAAACTTGGACAATTAAAAAAAAGATTAAAGTCATTCATTGCAAACGAAGTTGCATATGTGTTGATTAAGAAATTCTTTTATGAATTGTCTTTTCTTATTATTGTAGAAATTTAGCAAGAAATTGATTATTAAGCTAAATACAAGGTCTTTTTTAATTAAGTCTCATCATTTATTACTTGAATTTGCTCATATCGACTTACTATTTTCTTTGGTAGCTATATAATTTATATAGATGATCGTAAAATAATTGCAAACGAGCAGGGCAAGTTTTTTTTATTTAGTCCTCACTTAAATATATTTTCCTATCACTATTTCTGAATGCAATAAATTTTTGTTTCTATGATAGTCACATCGAAATACTGTTATGTAGTTCATCTTGAGTTTGATATTTTAATTTTAATTTTAATACTGTCTTCTCAGAAGCGTATCCTTCAGTATAAATTCATAAAAGTTAATTATCATCTATAAAACCAATTTCCTTGTGTAAAAAAAGTCAAGCATCTCGAAAAAAATTGTCAACATACATTAGATTTTAACACAAGCGAAGCCAGCATGTTTTTTAAGAAATAGTTCTTTCAAGATAGTTAACGTGTCTGAATATGAAATGAAGAACTGTGAAATTTTTCATGGAAGACTATACTATTCGAAACATGAAAACATGATGAAAATATCAGTTTTCGTAATGATCAATACAAATTTATATTATAATACAAGAAACTAATATTGATAAAAACCCAACACAGACAAAGATTGTTGATGATGAGTCACATAGAAAAATAGCTTCAAATTAATATCAAAATAAAGAATTTTCTTTGAATAAAACAATGTTTTCATCTATTTGATAACTATTTATACTGCTAGGAGAAGAATGAGTTTGAAACTCTTGAAAATGTTCTTAGTGAAAATTGTATGCACACTGTGATTTTTTTTATTGCTATCGATTTCAAACCTCTGTCATTAACTAACTATCTATATTATTACTGCGGGCAAAACATTGACCGAAATATTTTAAATTTTTTTACTGACTCCAACTCTATTTCTTCTTAGTCTACACTATGAAAGAATCAATGAATCATGAGGTGCTCAACTTAACTTCATTGTTATTCAATTCTGATTCGTAAATAAAACGAACGACCGAGGTTGGAACATAAGACTATTTATCATAAAATAAATATCACCTCTCTACTTCTTTTTCGAGCTAATAAAATTGAACAGACTGTTTCATGAAATTCTATATGTTTAGGTCGAAACTTATATTCTATTAAAGCAAAAAACTTGAAAAGAATACAAATAAAAAGCAGAAGGCATCTTATTGTTGACTATGCAATTTTATTTGACGACAACTGTGCCAGTTTTCATTTGAACATCGTCAATATAATACTTGTTGATTTCACTTGAATATTAGATGTTTTTCATGAAGGAATATAATCGAATTCACACAATGTCTTGAACAAACCCAGCGGTATCAAATTACTTTATATTCAAAAACTAATTTGTTTTCTTTAAAGATACCGCTCGTTGATGAGAATGATATATTTAAAGATTACGAAGTATAAAAAAAAGAAAACTCTTTATAATATTTAATTTAATTACAATGCAAATGCATTTAATGAATTATTATTTTAATCACATCTTAAAATTAAGTGTCCTAATCCAATATGTGATTTTTGTGGAGAAAAATTCAGTTCAACGATATGACATGATCAGCACAGAGAAAAATGCCTGTACTTTGTCTACTGAAAGAATTCGTTTAATGAAAAAAAACAGAAACGTTGTATAAGTCGAAGGTATCTTATGCAACTATCAAAAACAAAACGATAGTTATGGAAAAATGAGGTGATGACAAATCTCAAATTGGTATCAATTTTCACTAAATATCTGGTCTTAAATATCTGACTTTAAGAAGGAAAACAGATATTTACTTTCAACATTAAATTTTGCATAATATTATTAAAGAATGAAATCAATCAAATTCTATCTGCTTACAAAATTTATAATTAGACAGATCTCGGTGTATTTTTTGTGTGCATGTTAGATCAACTGGTGTACATAATGCTATTTGCAATACACTTTCTTCGATTTATCTGTTACATTTGACTATCTTGATAGTTATCACTGAAAGGAGCTGCTATTAAGATAGTGAAAATTAAATAACAAGGGCAAAACTTCGTCTTATTTTTGAGTTTTTTAATATTTCTAAAATTATTCGCACATTGTTATTGTATATATTATGCTAGAATTCGAATAGAACGATATTTAAAAACAACTGGACAACAATATAAAGAAGATAGAAGTAGAAAAGTAAAAAATAGAATCATATTTTAACGAATCAAATAAAACAAATTATCAAATTTTATATTTTTAAGCTAAAAGGTATTTCTTGAGATTGTAGATTTAATTAATTATTTTATTTCTTTAATTAACAATGTCGAAGCGCTCACCCGTTATGGATGACAAAACAATTTCAGAAATGATTCTAAAAAACATAACAACAGCATCACAAATGAATGTTCAAATGTCTAACATTTTAAATTCAGAACAAATGCGATTAATGACGACCTATACGGATACATATAACTATGAACCTTGTTTGTCTTTTTTTCTATCATTAGCAATGGTGTCACATTTCTCGCAAGGATCCTACTATACTCGTTATGCCAGTCCCGATCATCGTCCAGTACGATTGTATTTATGGTTGCTAGGCGCCAGTGGTATGTTCAAATGTTCTTTGAAGAGACTACATTTTTTCTAATACAACACCTTTTATAGTGTCTTTTTTTCTTGACAGAATGAAATGTAGAAATATGTAGAAGGATACAAGTATCTGTTTTATAATCTAAACTACAATAGTTGCGTTGTAATGATGTTATCATAATTTCAAAAGGTACGAAAGGATAGCATCCCAGGTCGAACAGTCCGGCCTGGAAACGGTCGGTTCCGGGTAGTTCCGTTGATTTTGTGGAAGCAGTCTTCCGGTTGGAAATTTTTCGCATTTTCCCGGTGATTTACGATCAATTCCTGCCGGAAAGCACCGGAACTTGGCAGGAATTCTCCGAAAAAGTCCGGCCGTATTTTTGACCGGAATACTGCTTCCACGTTCCAGCGATTTCCCGTGTTTTCCTGCAGGATATGGTGACTTTCCCGCATATTCCCTGGAGTATCCTACGGGATCCGGTGACCGGAATGTTCGACCTGGGTACTTATATCACTAATTAAAATGTATTTTCGTTAATTAGATCTCATTATAATTAGCGTTTAATTGAAGATTTTTTATTGAAAACCTCTATTTTAACTAATAAAGACCATAGTTACGTCAGAATCGTATCGTTTTACTGTTAGAGATGATAGCAACGAGTACATGCTACTATAGTGCATATTAGATACATTAAACATTGTTTTAAAAGATGATTTACTATGTTTGCATATAGAAATAAATATATAATTCATTAATTATAACACAGATATTAATTGAAATAAAGTATTAACAACAATAAGAATTCATTTAGTAAAAAAAATTTTTAATTTTGCGATAGCAAAAGCGAGGGAATCCAAAAAAACTTACAGAAATCATATTTTATATTTATTTTACTTCAAGATTAAAAATAGAAATACGAAATATTTTTTATCAATATTATTAAATAGCAACAGCCTTAAAAAAACTTCTATCGAACCGTAATTTATGTTTACGTTTTTTTCTAATTAGAAAATTTCAGAAGTACTTATAAGTTATTTAAATGAAAGAAATTGTACGTTTTCATCTATTCAGCTATCTTTACTTTTTTCGGTCCTTTTCCTGAACAAATTATGAAACTTATTCTATTAAAAAATAAAGAAAACACTCTATTTGGTCAGTATCTAAGTGATTCGAAATATTTGAGTTCCACATTTTAGCCCCAGCGGGGCTGCGCTGACAAGCGTTTTCCTATTGTTTTTGACGCATTCTGTGCATACAATGATTTGTCTAAAGATAGCATGAGTACCACTAGGTTGAGGATTAGAACCATAAAATGTCAATAAGTTATAAATAATCAGAACGGTGCTTCTAAAATATCTTTATTGTGCAACAGTAGCTGTAAATCAGTATACATGAATTGATCGTACAAAATATTTCGTTTTGCATTCGTAAGAAAACGGCTCATGGTAAAGACTTCGCGGTCCAATAAATTCCATTTGAATATGATCAAACATTCACAATTTATTTTGGATTCATTGCTCTGAATATTACAGACGTTTGTTCATATTGTTCTGTTTCTATTCGTGAAATGCACTTGATGAATATACTTTGACTCGGCATAAGGCCATGAAAAAATGTTAAATTTTTCTTTTCTTCGCTCTTGTTCTCGTTCTCGTTCTCGTTGTTGCTGTTCGTTTCTTTTTTTTACATTTTGTAGCAGAACTCGTGTTTAGTCTATATGTAACTTGTAGTGCAGGATACGATATATGCTAATCTATGTAAGAAAAAAAGAAATAGCAGTCGCCATATGTTAATTAGGGCGACAAAAGTGTTTTTTTGAAACGATGATAAAGAACGGAGAAAAATTTTTTATGAGAACGGTAGCGTGAGCTAAAAAATAATGCTTGTTGCTATACACTCAGTGTTTGACATACTGTAAACGCAATTGATGCTGAGAAGCGAGTAAGAAAAGCAGTAACACTCGCATCGCTGGGCTCACATTAGGAAACCACATATTTTTCTTTTACATCGTTTATTAGTTGAATCTTGAAGGAACACTTGCTATAATATGACTTCAACAATTTTATCAACACTTCGCGAATTCGATTATAGGGACGAAAAAAAATTAAGATCATATTTCGATGATATCATGAGTAGAATGCCAGTAGATGATGATCAATATTTGAGCGAAGTCGTCAATGCACTTATTGACGTAAAGTTTATGTGTACAGATACCATTGATCATCCATTGTTCGTCAGTATGCGAAATATATTTATCGAGACTATTAAAAAATCTGCCAATGATTATGAATTGTCAAGCCGTATAGGCCAACTATTTACTCAAATAATGAAAAATGTCACGGACGAAAATATCCATCTCGTCCGACAGTTGTTCGCAGAACAGAATCTAGCTGACTGCTCAGTTAAGTCTCTGCAGAATTTATTACCGACATCAAATAACAACTTGATTGGAAGCATCGAATATATGATTGATGCATATCAAACATTTCAAGAAGATCGTCCAACTGTTCAGAATGATCCGATTCTTTTGATTCTAATAATGCCCATCTTTGAGTTCATTAAATCAGCAGAATATAGAAATTCATTTATGCAATTATCGATTAATCACGATGAACTTACACGCTATCAAAAGCTCATACTTGTCACTTGTCCGAAGTATATTGTTTCACATTGGGGTCAACATCACGAAGAAATAACATCTAGAACAGCGCAATATATGTTAAATCAAACGACAGAAATTTTCAAACACTTTTTACCATCGATTGATGATTGGAAAGAGCCAATTATTTGGTGTACTTTCTGGTTGATCTTACTCTGTCAAAATTGTGCAAACGAACGTCTTCTGTCCGTTTACAGTGCAGAACACGAGAAAATTCTTGAATGTGTACTCGAGATTATTCAAGGAAAAGAATTATGGCAGCTTGCCTGTCAGAATTCAACATCATCAGAGAAACGGCAAAAACGAGCAGGTCAACTTTTCTGCTATGCTACATTGTACATATACACAATGTCATTTTTGCCCGAGCTAAGCGATAAACTCAAAGAGAATAATACCGTACCATTGTTAATGAAACTTACTGAAGTCAATTTTGATAAAACTCAATTGCATGCTTATCGAGCACTAGCTGTCATTCTCACAGACAATGATATTAAACAATTGGCAAATCCAGCACGGGTCACAAATGTATTTGTTTTCTACTTGAAGAAGTCTATCGATGGAATTGGACTAAACCAGCGCTTGGAAAATTCTCGTCTCAGCTTGAAAAGTAAGTTGGATGTTTTTCATTTTGATAAAAACAATCAGCTATTGACAGCAAACAACATTGCAGAGTTGCTTTGCTCTTAATGAGTGAAACAGGATACTAGCATCAGCACAGTCAATTTCATCTTCTGATCGAAGTGTTTTTCTGATATAATTAGAATGCATCAACTGCTCACTGTTTCTTTCTCTCGCGCTCATTACTTCTTGTGTATTTACAGTTCTTATGCAACATGAGCAGATCAAAGACGAATTTGTTAAACATACAGATGGTATTCCTCTTCTTCTTCGATGCGCAACAGAAACACGATTTGATGGTACAAAAATTCAGTTAAGTGCACTTAAAATTCTCATGTCCTTAACTTTCAATAGTGAAGGCAAATCCTTGCTTCTGAAAAATGACAACTTTATTCAGTATCTGAAAACATTGGTTGCATCTTCAAAACCACCTGATTTACAGAAAGTGGCCAATGGTATCCTCTGGCGACTCTTTCCAAAGTATGAGAAACATGAATCGAACTTCAAATACGATGCCATGATATCATATGCTCATAAAGATAAAGAAGTGTGCCATCGAATTTATAAGACTTTAGCTGCCGATAATTTTCGTATATGGATCGATCTCGAACAAATGCACGGTACAATAATGCAAGTAATGGCAGAAGCTGTTGAACAGTCGAATTACGTTATAGTATGCATGAGTGATAATTACATTGTAAGTCCATATTGTCAAGCTGAAGCACAATATGCATTTGAACAGCGACGTATCCTTATCCCACTTCGAGTACAGGCTGGCTACAAACCGCAAGGATGGCTAGGGTTTTTATTGTCAGGTCGAATGTACATAGATTTTATGAAAACTAATTTTAATACTGCCTATGCTCAACTGCTATCGGAATTTCGTCTGAATCAACTCGATAAGAAACAGAATACAACGTTCGTTAACCACTCAAATGTTAGCGAATCACCAGCAGTGATGTAAGAACGATGAAATCAACGATTATTGCTTTTCAGTGTTTTGAAAGAATTTGAGTAAATGAAAGAAATTTAATTTGAGATTTACAAAGACAAATAATCACCTCTGATTTGTTATATGTTTCTATTATTTATACACGTAACTTAAGAAAAAACGTAACTTTAGTTATAACTGCCGGAAAACGTACAGTTTGAATACACTGAAATTGTTCTTACTAGTCATGCTAAATTAGACCTTATTAGATTCTAAAATTATCGTTTTAGAGATGAACGCATCACCTACTCATACTCAAATGATGTGCTTCAGCGGACTCCAGCCGACGTTCACAATTTCCTACTTGACAAACAACTGAATCAAATGGTGCCTGTATGTCAGCAAATGGATGAACGAAAATTAACAGAATTATACAGGCTGTGTCATGTCAATAGTCCAGTACTGTTGCAGACACTTCGCTCGGAAACGAAGGGATTACATTCTACTACGCTATCGACGAATATCTATTTGACATTTATTCATGAAATGAAAAATTTAATACCGGAAGAGATCAGTAATAAAGCAGTACAACAATCCGTAGCTTGTACACTGTTATAAATAATATAATTTGTAGACTCTTTACAGTTTCATTGACTGATATTATCTAGTTGATACAGTCTAACGGGGAGAATGTAAACAAAATGATAGCGTGCCCAATTAACAAGAAACACTATATCTTCGTATTGTCAACGGATATGATGGGTTTTAGGAAGGTCACCAGGAAAACATTGAAAGTTGAAGCTAATAAAAAGATATTTTTATCTTTATCGAAATGTTCGCATCGTCGTAGGGAAGTTAATCAGAGTTTTACTTTCATCGTATCGACTGAAAATGATAACTATGCAAATATTCCATTGGATTTTCGAATAAAGAATAGGATATGGTGGTTCCTATTGCCATCACCATTCATGAGCACATACAAATGCATTGAGTCTAAATTTTCATAATGTTAGGGTTAGCTGGAAAAATAGCTGAATCTTCAGTGACTTATTTTTAAAAATATTTGTCAAATCTATTCACAAATGTACTCATAGATTCTATATGACAGTGAAAAATTAAAAAAGAAATACGTTCCATGCATCTGTCGATCACATGTTTTTTCCTACTGGCCTTGCAATTCTTTCGAATCTATTCGTGATGCATTTTAAATAGAACCAAATCAAACAAAAATCAATTGAAAGTAATATAAAGATCAGTCACTGAGGAATGACCAATGGGAGCACGGCGTCTGTTAATATAGCGCATACCTGGATCTGTACTCCAACTTGTATCCATTTCTATGCTTTCGGCTGTTTGTTGATAAGTAAAATGAACTGATGGATTCTTTTCATTGACCTTTTCCACTGCAGCCATTCCTGCTTGAACTCGTAATTGTTGACGCATCGGTATTTCAGATGGCGAATAACCCCTATTCATGCCAATACTAGTGTAGCCCGTGCATTTATTAATATAATCGATTGCTTCGTAATATTGTTGCGGCGTCATTTTGCCTCTTAGCCAACTCGGATCGAGAAGAGAATTCGGATTGAAAAATCCATTGGCACCTTGAAGTTTAATAATACCACCATTCATAAGTACGGCTACAGGTAAACGAGGTGTGAAAGCGGCTATTTCGTTGTCAATATCTTGTTGCGTATAGGGCGTGAATAGTACACCACAACCCATTTTGAATATTAAACGTGCTGATGAAGTCTTAAATAGTAGCGATGCAACGACAATGACGATGAGAGTTTTAATTGAGAACTACGTCATACACATTTGTGCTGCTATATTGTTATTTTGAAGCCCGTGACACAATCAAACGGAAAAAAATAACATTTTGATTGTATGTTTCCAACGTTACTTGAGTGCTCATTCATTTTTTTTCTCATTCTTCATGTTCTTTACAAGGCTAATTCTTGAGAGTAAGACGGGCAACTTGCAACATGCAAGTCATTGACGTCAACATAGTGATTGAGAATATTTTTTTAAATAAAATAGAGGGCTCATGAAATAAAGCAGCGTCATCTAGATATGCATGAATTGCACAAATTCAGACGCTTAAACTGCAAGTAAAATTATGATAGACTGCTTAAAGCATGAAATAAAATCATTCATTTACATAATATTTGTTAACAAGCTACTACATGTTTCATCGATCATATTTTCTAATCCACTTGGTGGTTGAAGTTTTTTTTTGAAAATGTTCGTCTTCATAGTATAACGTTCATTATAACTATAAATGTGTCGCTGTCGAGAATTTCTTGGGTGTGGCTGAAGGCGTGTTTGGTGTTTCTATGTCGATCTAGACCATGATGAGGTTTAAAAAGTACCCCATCTCACACCCACACCCACCCTTTTAAGCATATGCTTTTTAGTAAAACATGAACTCCAGCATCACAGTCAGATATAACTGATGCTCTTTACGTTTAAAAACAAACCGCTTTTATTAGTTTTTAGATTAACTTGAACAGAAAAAACAGTTCACCCATCGAAACAAGCAAATACATGATTCTAAGGAAATTTTCCAATAATTTAAAAGATCAACAATCTTATTTGCTAATGATGCGGCATCGAATTTCGCTAATGGTATAAAGGCAAGAAAATATTCTTGTCGCACACAATTTCTAGCAATTGTACAATTATTTGAATTAGGAGCAAATCGAGTGACTATTGACAGATGTGGCGCACCACTTACGTCTCGGCATTCATCAGTCATCAAAATGTAGTTGCTGTTATTTAGTTAGAAGCAGCAGAAAGTCATTCAGTTACAATAGATAGTTTAACATAACCAGCTCGTCTTATCATAAATGAACTATCTTCACGAATATCATTATTTATAATATGACTTAATTCATTTTGAATTTCATGACTTAAATAGGTGGTATACCTGTTGAATCGTCAAATATTGCCTTAATTAAAGTATCATTTTCTGATGCCCAGCGAAGAATTTCCAACAAATTACCTTGATTAGAACTTATGTAAATAATAAAAAGTAAACTCTATAAAAGAAAGTTTCATAATATTGATGATAATTTTCTTCTTTAGATCTCGAAAATGATAAATAATTAGCTCTAATAATTTTTTTATTTGATTCTCTAAGGAGAAGTCTCTTATCTTTCTAAAGCTAGTTAGATTTACTCACTTTTCATTTTCTTCATGACCTCTAAAACTTACCATTTGACGAGCTAAGAATCGTAATGTTGCACAAATTTTTATAATACGATCTCGATTTTTACGGATTTGCATTGCACGGTATGAATTTAATTGTTTTAAAATATTTGAATTTGTTTGCTGTTGTTGTTTGTATGATAAATAGTTTTTTGTTGCAATAACATGTACTTGATATTATGCATGTTTTATTAAACCAGCAGTTTTGTTTAGCACCTTCCTCCAATTGTTAAATCCTACGGAAGTGAACACATGGTGCTATATCAACTCGTCGCCATTCAATTTGTTGCGTTCAATTCATCGCGTGTTTCTTTTAATTGTTTGTTTGTAACTGTGCTTCATTTTTTCAGAAAAAATTTAATTAATCTTCAAGAAAGCTTGCATCTATATTTCTTATTAATAATTTCTATTGAATTAAAAAGAATTTGATTCTCTTTTGTTCTCTTTGAGATTATCACGCTTAAAAAATGAAGAATTGATTAGATCTCGAAAATAAAGCCAAACACTGTTTAAATAAGAGCTGATTAAGATCAGCTAATTAATTCTGAAATGTATAAAAACATAACTCACTTGATCAAGGCATTACATAACCATTCATCAATTTTCAACTCAACTCACTCAATGTATTCTATTCAAAAGCTACTATCAGAAAAGGGAAAACCTATGGTTTGTTAAGGGTTATATCTACCCAGGTCGAACAGTACGGTCCGTATACGGCCATTGACGGTTACTTTACGAATATTTTACGGGCGAAATTTTGCCGTAATATCTGGCGCAGTAATACGGACCGTATTATCATGAGAGTACGGAGCACAAACAGCCGTAAACCATGAAAATTCAGTCCCGTTTACGGTGCCGTATTACTGCGCCAGGTATTACGGGCAAATACGGTCTATTTACTGCCGTAAAGATACCGTTTTGACATCGTTTACCGTCGACAAACAGACCGTAAACGAGTCCGTTTTGATCAACCTGGGTATACAAAAGAAATATCTACAGCAGTTAAAATAATTTTCCGCTGTCAAAACAGAAACTGCAAAGGTAATTAATTATAAGAATGATGAATAGAAAGCATTAATCTTTACTTTCTTTAGCTCGATGTCATACGAATTTGTCAATGGATACTTTTCTATCTCAGCCAATTGAACACAATCACGCTCCTAATCCTAAACGCATTCCAGCAATCGAACTCAGTAACCAGATCAAAGTCCTAGCCACAGCATCTGATGAACTTACAAGCACTATTTTTCACTCGGCGTTACGAACATTTTCACTGAGCGCGACAGGTGACTACCGCGCACTGAAGATTTTCTGTTGCATGAAGAAATGGATATGATTATTTTCACGATGAAAAATAACTTATCAGCGCTGAAGCAATTAAAACATTGGTTCACTGATGGAACGTTCAAAGTATGAGACTAATTAATTCGCTTTCACAACTAATTAGTTTCTTTCTAGGTATGCCCTAATGACTTCTATCAATTGTTCATGCTTCATGCGCTGATGACATCGACAATTATCCTCTCGTGTATGGCCTGTTAATTGGGAAAAGTGCCAATGATTAAAATGGCTTCTTTAAAAAAGTATTATATCAGGATAACATTCAACCCGAAACAGTTTTGGCCGACTTCGAAATTGGAACAATCAAGGCGGTCAAGGAAATGATGCCAAACGTTATTCACAAAGGTAAAAAGAAAACACCATTGAATTACACTAATTACCTTTCTCTTAGGTTGTCTCTTTCACTTGGGTTAGAGAGTTTGACGGTATGTTCAAAACATGGGGCTATCAACAAAATATCATGAAGATGAAAATTTTCGATTGAACGTCAAAAAATTAATTGCTTTGGCTTTTCTCCCTGTGCCTAATGTGATTGCTGACTTTTATCAGATAGCAGGTGAATTCGACGACGACTCTGATGACCTTCTCAATTATTTTGAAAAACCGTGGATCGGTGAACCAAGAAGAAGCGGTAACCGATCCATTACCATTAACTGTTTCAATTATGGCTGTTTTAGGAGTTGGACGAAAAAAAACCTCAATTCGACCATACTTTGTGCAACATTTACGATCGTGTCATAGCTGATTTGCCTCGGTCGAACAATTCTGTCGGAGGCTGGCACGGCGCTTTCGCGAACCGTGTTAACATTACTCATCCAACGATCAAGAAACTGACCGAGAAGATTCGTCGGGAACAGTCAAAATTCGAGGTCGACATCGCCCAACTTTTTCAAGGTCATCAGCCGAAGCCGAAAGAAGCCTGCTATAGAAAATTTGACGAGAGAATCGCGCGTATAGTCCGCCAATATGATTCGTTACAAATTCCTCAATATCTTAAAAATATCGCTGCAAATGTTTCCTTGTAAATATTTTTTGTCTCGTTAACTTAGTTGTTTCTTTTTCTTGTAATAGAGTTGCAATTTAATTACATGTATACATATAGTGATAACGCGATGAATTGATTGGTCACCGAAAACATCATCGGCATTTAATTGATTCGATGCAAAATGACGATAATGATAGCAATAACTTGCATGATTTTGCACCGAATATTCGAACAATATTCTATCCTTAAACTAGCTAGATTGAAATGAACGATTTTGTTGATTCGCTGGATATGGTGTTACTTGTTTTTGAGCCGGTACATCATTGCATGACACACTGATATCATTCCGAAAAGATTTTCTATGAGAATTTTCATTAAAAGAAGAAGATAATATGAGAGAAGATGTCGAATTGTGAACAACAATTGAGGTTTGATCGCTGGACAACGAAAAAGAACAAGAAAGATCTTAAATTTCAGGCGTTGATAATGATAAAGATGGTGAAATAATGGCGTTCGATTCTGTTTCTTATTCATCACTACATTCTTTTTCCTTAGAAAAAAGAAAATAGTATTCTAAGGTGGCACGTTTTTCCGATTGCATTTGTAGGCATCATGATTTAGGTTTAGGCAAGATTAGGAGAAGAGAGTTAAGTATAGATACAGCGAACAACCAATTGGAAACTGAAGAGAAATCTCTACAACGTAGTAATAGATTTCCCGCAATATTAATGTCAGAAAAACTTAAAGTCACTAGGAAATTTCCATGAAAATCTGGAAGAGTTGGGGGGGGGGGG